CTTTATGAGATGGGGCAGCCAGAATGGGAAACAATATTCAAGTATTCTTAGCTTATATATAAAGTGCTTTCTAACTTGTAAGCAACTGTGCTGTAAATACAAGTGGCATGGGGGGGCGGGCATATTTGGAAGCACACCTTCTGTGTGGTGAACATACTACAAAATAAAACATGCTTCTTGGAAAGAGGGTACATATGTCTCTTTTTTATATTATACTGGTTGGGCTCTAGACAAAAAAATTGGCTATGTTTGATTAGTTGGTCTCTTAAACATTCTTAATAATGAATGATTGGCTATACTTTTAGACAGTAAAACAAAACATTTCAATAATTTCCCACTGAAAATTTCAATGAAATTGATACATCCCTGGAAAATGTTTTGATTTAGTTGAATCAGAATTTTCCAATGGAAAAGTGTTCCATCAGAAAATTGTTTACAGTTATAGCTGCCAGTTTTTAAGCAAAACACCCAACTCAATTTGCTGCGTAAGCCCTGTATACGGTTGAATGATCCAGACAGTCTACAGAATGTCATGCCTTCTTATAGGTCTTTATACTGTAATGTTTGAGTTTATAATCCAAGCAAGGTGAAATAAAGGTGAAACCATTATTTCAGGACAGTCCCAAAGTGCTACTGGTTAGTGACTGCAATGTACTTTAAACAGCAAATAATCTATGTCGGAAATTGTGTAAGATGTCAGCTGTTACTTTTACATAATCTTTGCACTTTACTGACTTTTTAAAGCAAAAGCAATGAACTGGACCTCTGACTCCTGGAGCATCCTGCAAAATGTCAACCGGTGAGAATATTTTGCTGCTGTCCCTGATTCTTGCAGCCTGGTTCACAACCTTTACAGTTAATGGTAAGATTTTAAAATATTTTACACTATTGCCTCTCCTGGGGAAACAGAACAATTGAAGTACGGTGAGTTGGGAACAGCATGGCTCATGTGTGTGTGTGGTTTTAACACAGGAGCTGGGCACTCATGAATTGTTTGGAAGAAATATGACAGTCTGAATATCAAAGTGTTCTTGCCTGCTTTTCATTTTCCTGTTTTCAGGCATGTGCCTGTTTGTTGCAACTTTAGTTCCTACAATGTCTGCATTACTCCCATGTGATTGTGAAGGGCACTCTCCTTAGTGGAACAGGTACAGCTGCATTAATATTCATTAACTAGTATTACCTGAACAGCAATAAACTACTTATTTAGTGCTACAGATTTACACAGAGCCTTCTAAACAGCAAACTACATTCCCTTCCCAGAGAACCTGGACTTCAGTCGCATCTGGATCAGAGCCTGGGCACTTTTTCAGAGGGCTCAGAAAATTCTTTTCCCCTCACCTGTGCCAGAGGCAGCTGGCACGCATGGAGCAGAAGGACCACTAACACAACTGGGGTTCTCTGTACTGCAAGCCTGATCTGACTGCAGGTTATGAAATATGGTTAAAGTCCATTCTGCACAACACCCTGAAACCATGTTAGTAATAGTAACTAGTGGTAAGCAGTGCTGTGACTGAATTCCCAGGAGTGAGTCTACTTGCAGTGCTGGCAGGATCTTACTGAAGTTGTGTTGGAAATGAATCTGGCCCTATATGCACAGTTAAAAGAAGAATTCTGTTTGGTCTGTGCAATACAGCACTGGCATTCGCATTCTCTTAGTTTAGATTCAGTTTAGGGTAAAAGACACCAGACCAGACTAACTTGCAGTGCCAGTTCTTCCACTTACTGCCACTTTCCCATGCATTAAAAATGCTTTCCCTGGCCCAGTGCTTAAACTGGGACGGATTGCAAGGGGTCACAGACTCAGAAAAAAAATCAGGCCAGATTGCGGAAGGGTGCACTGTGAGCACTCTCTTATCAAAGTGGCTGTTCCCAGATTATGATAGACGCCCACCTCCACTTTTTTCAGATCACCTTAAGCATTGCCCTGGCTGCTTTTTACCCTTAGGTAAAAATTAAGATTTGTATTAGTGCTGTGTATCAAACCTGCGTAGTGAGACACTATGACATGCAGAGCGTGTTTAATTCACTGTTGTATCTAGTTTAATTCACTGTTAATTAATTCACTGTTGACATTACCAAACACTGACTAAATTTTTCCCATTACACTGTATATAAAGCAGTCTGGCTCTGGAGATTAAATTTTCCATACTCAGTTTATGGATGGATGAGCACAATCAGATCCTGATCCTAGGTGCTATGGTAGTAGAAATAATATAATAATAATAATCATTTCAGCCTCATTTCTTAGTTTTGATCATAACGGACATGTTCTGTAAACTGAATTATATAACTATATAACAGATCTTTAAATCTAGTCCCCTCAATTTTGGAGTTCAGGGTGTGGAGTCAAATCCCTAGATGTAAATTCTCTCTGTGGTTTCAGTTCCAGGTGGAATGTAAAACTGGAAGAGTCCTATTTTCTGGATCCAACTTAAGTTCAACCAAAATGGCAGAAATCTGGAAAGAACAACTGATCTTGTGAACAACTTATGATATTTCAATGCCGCTGAACCCAAACCCAAGCTCCATTTTGGTTTTTAACCCAAATCTCAACCTAAATTGAATATGGATGTAAACATCGCTGCCTTAGCCAAACTACTATCCAAAATAAAATTTTAAAAACATGTCTTAAAATGGAGCTAAGGCTGCTGAATTCCTTTAATTAAATACACACAGTTTAAAAATACAGGGAATCTTGATTTAAGTTTCCATCTCAAAATTTAAAAATCACTCCAGCATTCATACATTAAATTGCAATAAATACACTCTCGTATTATCTAAGTATAAACATAACAACAGTAATTCTGACCATTTTGTGAGTCTGTACATATACAAACAATACCCCACATAAAATGTTATTAAATCACAATGACTAAGTCGTAATAATCTGTTAAAACTAGATACTACATAAAATAATTCAAGATGAACTTCAGATGAGTAGTTCTCCACCAGATACACAGGTGTAGTGAAAAATAGCCATAAATGAAGCACTCCTTCATTTATACTGGAGGATGTTTGTGTTTGTGACACATTGGGGATTCTGTCTATACCACTTCTGAGTTGTGGATGATTTTATGAGAGTGTGTCATGAAATAATTGTGTCTCGGAAAGCCTATATGTATGTGGATCCATTCTGAGTTAGCAGGGTTGTATCATGTCTCTGCCAGACGAGAGACAGTGGTGAGTGATCAGCACTCAGTGATCCGTCTATTCAAAGTAAAACACAATGGGTTTGCTCCAGCTGTGAGAAGACACTTTCTCCTCTTGTCTGATGGGTGTGGGGTTTGAGTGATCCGTCTATTCAAAGTAAAACACAATGGGTTTGCTCCAGCTGTGAGAAGACACTTTCTCCTCTTGTCTGATGGGTGTGGGGTTTGAGAGCAGTGGAACATTACCAAAAGGCAGAACATAAGAAGCAGGTGACTATAAAGGGACTGTGAAAGAGTGTAGGGTGAAAACAGGTGAGCCTGCACGCTGATCACGCAGATGTTAATCCGTTCCCCTTGAGAAAGCTGATGTGGGTAACTGGACAATAAGGCTGGCTGGCTGTATGGTCTAAGCAGCCAATTACCCCCTGTAACCGTGCCTTAGTGGGTCACAACTGAGGATGCCAAATTCAGGATGAACTGCTAAGAAATAGGGCAAACACAATCCAGAACTAGTGATTATTCTTTTATAAGATATACCAAACCAGCCAGAAAAGTAAACTCCTGTTTCACCATACTGGCTAACAAGAAAACATAAAGGTAATTTCCTTGGGCATTCCAGTTCTTATATCACCACCAAAAACACTAGATTCAGAGATGAGTGGTTCTTTACAATGTCTCATCAAATAATAGGTTCTTCTGATCCCAAAGGACCAGCCACACACCCAGGTCAATATATAACTTAGATCTTACCCAAAAATCATGCTGATGCCAATCCTTTAGTATCTAAAATCTAAAGGTTTATTTATAAAAAGAAAGAAAGAAAGGTGAGAGTTAAAATTGGTTAAAGGAATCAATTACATACAGTTTTGGCAAAGTTCTTGGTTCAGGCTTGTAGCAGTGATAGAATAAACTGCTGGCTCAAGTCAAGTCTCTGTAGTACATCCCCAGCTTGGATGGGTCATTCAGTCCATTGTTCAGAGTTTCAGTTTGTAGCAAGTTTCCTCCAGAGGTAAGAAGCAGGATTGAAGACACAATGGAGGTATTTCCAGGGCCTTTTATCGCTTTTGCCATGTTGAGGGCATTCCATTGTTTTTACTGTGGAAAATCACAGCAACAAGATGGAGTTTGGAGTTACACGGGCAAGTCACATGTCCATGCATTTCATCTAGTCACAGCAGGAAATTTCATTAAGGGTAGATAGGCATCTCCCATGGTTGGTCCATTCTCAGTTAAATGTTCTTTCTATGAGTCACGCAATTAGAATAGGCCCTCCAAGATGTGCTGGCTAATTACTTTGTGGGCGTTACCCCAGGAGCAAACATTTGAAATCCAAATATAGAGCCAATACTTATTACTTCACATACAAAAATGATACATGCATACAGATAGCATAAGCATAACAAGCAAATCATAACCTTTTCATAGACACCTCACTCGACAACCTTTGTACAATATTTGCTGCAAATATATAACAGTGGTTGCAACAATGATCTATATGGTCATATTTTAATCAGATAACGTCACACACCCCCATCAGCCCAAAGCTGATTAAGAGGCAGGAAGGATGCCCCAAGGAAGGGGGGGAAGGGGAGAGAGGGCCAGCACTTCACCCCTTATCAAGATAATTAAAGAAACACTGTTGTTTTTTTAAAACAATAATAATGCAGTGTTGCCATTACATGGCAATCAATATGACTGAAGGTTTTCCTTAATAATACTTTCATAATAATAATACATTGTGTTAAAATAGCACAATGGTCATACTTTTGAAAGACATATAAGCAACTATTTTGCTACTGATGTCTTTAACACATAGCCAACAATTAATCAGCATAATGATTTCTGTATTACACATGCACTGATGCCAAGTTTAATGTTAAACCTTTTTCCTACCTTACAGGCATACATTATTGTGCAACAAGTTGCCTGTAAGAACAACATATATTTTGAAAATAAATTAATGCAATATACAGACTAGGGTTGTCAACCTTCCAGGATTGTCCTGGAATCTCGAGGAATTAAAGATTAATCGTTAATTAAAGATTATGCCAAGTGATGAAACCTCCAGGAATACGTCCAACCAAAACTGGCAACCCTAATACAGATCTCTCATAAGCCTTGTTAGACTTAGAAGTTGATACAGTTTGGGGTTTTTTTTACTTGCTTGTGAATATTTATTGAAATATTCTGTAGGAAATGTTTAAAAGAAATCAAAGGTACATGCGTAAGCATCTGAAGGACTTAGAAACTTGTCAGGTCATTTTGAACCTCGTGATATATAATCGGATTTTTTGTACATGTTTCACAGGACAAAATGCTGCACACCCAGAAGTGGTTACCAAATACGGGAAACTCCGAGGGCACCAAATCAAAGTTGATGGAGCTGAGGCACATGTAGATGTTTTCCTGGGAATTCCTTTTGCAAAGCCACCTATTGGACCTTTGAGATTTTCCCCACCGGAGCCAGCTGAGCCATGGAAGGGTCTCAGAGATGCAACTTCCTACCCACCCATGTAAGACAGTGACATGAACATGTGGATGGGTAGGAATGTGTAATATGGAGCAACACAATACTGACACTCATGCCAAAATAAATCTAGCAAAATGAGCTCTGGGGTCTGCTAATGCTCTGGGGTCTGTAACTGGGGTCTGTTAATGCCTGTAGACTGTTAACCTAGGTGAGTTTTAAAGGTAAGTCTTAGGATCTTTATTTGGCATTAGCAATGGACCACTCCCACTCTTCATCAATGATGTTATCCCTTGGAGGGCTTTTGAATCTCCAATTAGTAATGTTTATGAAACCTATACCTCAGGAGTAGAACTGAAGAGGAGCTGAGAAACGTTGGAGGGACTAAATGCCATATGAATCACATTCCCAATGCTACATATATGAAGTTGAGGGCAGTCTATTCTATCGAGGTTCTTATTCTGCCCTCATCGCTGTAGTGTCAACGTGCCTTCCAGTAGTGCATTAAGTGACATGATTAATGTCTATAATATGCTATATGATTGGGGTATATAAGGTGGAAAAGAATCCAGTTGCATTTCCACTGAATGACAGCACCTGCAAGGAGGCTCTTATATGTCTTGGCTCCTGCCTATTTGCAGGCAGATTGCTATGGTGTTTCAAAAAAGCCTACAAGTAAGTGTGTTCACCTGGAGGCTGTGGCCATTGTCTGTATGACTCCTTAATGCACTTTTGGCTGGCAGTCACAGGGAAGAAAATGTTTTTATGTTAAAAATGGAAAACAATATGATTCTCCATTGCCAACAATCTGGAAACCTATCACAGGTGGATTTGCTTTATTTATTGTGGATGGAGCATCTGATGGTTTTTGTTACTATGATTCTGTTGAATATTTTATATATATAATATATATTAATTATTAAGGTGCCTACAGGATCCAGTGGCTGGACAGCATCTATCGGATACATTTACTAACAGAAAAGAAAAACTTCCTTTCCAAGTTTCCGAAGACTGTTTGTTCCTAAATGTGTACACACCTGCGAGCGCAGACAAGGACAAGTTACCTGTAAGCAACATTACTGCAAAATCGGTGCCATGAGTTCATCCCTGGTGTAACTCCATGGATCAAATTATACCTTGGAGTAAGTTGGCACAACTCCCATTAAGGGAGGTCAGTGCGTACATACTGCAGGGCTCAATCTGATTCCATAAGAGAAACTTCACAGCACTTTACCGCTGTATGCAAACTTTCAGGGGCAGTTCTAGGGGCTGCTTTTGAAAATTGGATCAAGCTATCTAGTTGCATGTTCATATTTTTAAAACATTTGTTGAGACTTACAACATATAAACTCTCTAATATTTTACAATTAACTATTTACTTAAATGTTAAATGTTAAATAAGTTAAGAAAACTGAAAAGAGAGAAACTAAGTAAGTAGTAAAAATGTGCCCTGTCATAACTGGATAACTTCCAGGCACTTGCCTCGGTTTGGTGGTTTCTCATTTTATTTCCCATTTTTTGTTACTGTAACTCAGAATTATTTTCCACATTTAATGAACATCTATTTTATTCTTCATGCCATTCTGTATATTTCATACCATGTGAATTATCTTAGATCTAAGATCCAAAGAGACTGATATATTCTGCCAGTTTCTAGGGGTACATGCTGTTCTCCAAAGTAAATTAAGAAAAACCTTATTGTCCTTTGAAAATAGAATCTCTGTTAGAGTATGAAGTACTCTGTAAGGACATTTGGAATTGAAGAAATAGGGGTAACTATTCCCTTTCTTTTTCTTTCCTTTTCCTGCTCCCTTCTTCTCTACCTCTTACCCCAATTAAAAATAAAAAACCTAAACTCCCTACAATTTATAACCAACAAATCTGTGCCAATCTTTCCCCATATTTCTCTGCTTTCAAGTTCTATTCCCATCCCCTACCCTTTGTCTGTTTGTGTCTTTAGATTGTAAGCCCTACAAAACAGAGCATTATAACTATATAAATATTTAATAAAATAATAATTTCACTTTAAAACTGAAATTTGCATACACGAAAAAGTCTTACCACTTTTTTTTACTATACTCTCAAGCAGCTGAGCCAGCAAGAATTGTTGTGTTGTGCAATAGCACAAAATAGTACTTGATCACAGCACAAATAGCAACCTCTGGTTTGAATTTTACACCAGAAGTAATATCAGGGTGTTACAGATGCAGGTAACTAACTCTTCCTGCTTTTTTCAGGTCATGGTATGGATCCATGGAGGTGGACTAGTGATTGGTGCAGCTTCAACATATGATGGGTCAGCACTATCAGCCTTTGAAAACGTGGTGGTTGTAACCATTCAATACAGACTAGGGATCTTTGGATATTTTAGGTAAAACATTGTGCCCTAAAGGCACACAGGATAATGTTTCCATTACCAGTACTCCCCAGTGGCTGAGTCTGAAAAAGACAAGCACATGTCAATCCAGTATAGAGTGTCTTAACTCACAAGCCATAACAAATTAATTCATCCTTCCATGGGGAAACCTGAGTGAAAACCCTAATGCCACTTAGCCAATAAGCTGTTTAAGGAATTCTGCTGCATATAGGCAGAAGCCTAAAAGAGAAAGGACTATACATTTTTGTTTCTTACTCATATTTGTTTTATCGTTAATTTGAGATGGCCATAACCAAAACCCTGAACCTAAGTGCCCTAAAATTGTGGGAAAGTTCATATGCATAGCCTGGCTCAGCATTACCTGAACTTTGGAAAAGTTTGGGTGTGAACTAGCACTTCAGCCTATTCATGTTTTTTTACACAATGGGATTGATTTGGGTACCAAAGATCAAGGATACAAATAAATTATCTGCATATACCCTCTCCAAAAGACAAGGAAAACAGGTATAGGATAACACGAATGCACCCAAATAAATATTGGAGAACAGATATATTTATTTGGAACCAAAACCACCATGATGCCCATCTGTGGGATGAACAGTGGGTTGTACATTAAAGGAAAAAAGGAAAATAGACCAGGAAGCCGCAATAGGACAGTATCATTATAAAGATGTCATCCACACAGCAGAAATTCCAAAGATATTTAGTGATTGATTGCACATCTATCTCTCCTTAAGCCACATACTTAATTCTCCTTTAACACTGTGTCCATTCTTCTTTTCCTCATTTTTCACCTGCATCCCAACTTTGTGAAATTTACCAGTAAGTATACTAATAACCCTTTGAAAACTACCAGTTTTCCATTATATCTTGATCACAGTTATAATCTGATCTCTTTGATTATCTGCTTTTTTTTATACTCTAATTCAGGTGAGGGTGAAGAAAATATCAGCCCTTCTCTCAGTGGAGAGGAAAATCTGAGCTGAAAAATACCATCTTGTAGGAGTTTGGGTTAATTCTTAGGCAGGTTTATCTAATCTATCTATGCACTATGCACTGACGTATTCAAGCCTCGGTTCAACAGGGTGTTTAAGCTTGTGCCTAACTTTAAACACATGAGTAGTCCCACCGGCTTCATTACTTCTTTGCTGAATAGGGACATCAGGGCTATTGTCATATATTCTGTGCTCATCACTATAATATCTGAGCAACAAAAGCCACTGTCATTATCTATAGTGCAACTGGAGGTGTGATGGCAGCTCAAGTAGTCATACCTGCATTAGTTTTAATTTAGCTAGCACAGCTGGGCAGTGAAGACATGGTGGCATGGAACACAGCTGTACAAGCCCCTTCTTGGAATCTTGGGTTCGTACTTGTGCTGCTAGCCTACACCAGGGTCCATGCTGTGGGTCTTCACTGTTATTTTTAGCCATGATAGCTAGATTAAAGCTAGTGCAGATATAACTGTAAGAGCTGCAATCACACCTCTGGCGGCAGTGCAGACATACCCTTCAATTGTGTTTCACTAGTGTCTGGGGCTAGGAGTGCTATTTAGATAACTGACGCTAGTCCTGACCTGAGTTTTCCAGAGTTCAGAGTCTTCTCACTTGTTTTCTGACACTGCCAAGAACTCCCCATTTTCAGGTGTTTGCTCCATTACCATCTTTGATACAATCCTTGGATATTTTTTATATAATACAATGTATGTTATAACACTCCAGGCTATCTACTTCTCTTTATATTCTCTTGCTTTCAGTTCTGGTGATGAACATGCCCGTGGAAACTGGGGTTATTTGGATCAAGTGGCAGCTCTCCAGTGGATTCAAGAAAATATTGAACATTTTGGAGGAAATCCAGGATCTGTCACTATATTTGGAGAGTCTGCTGGAGGAATCAGCGTTTCTGCCCTTGTAGGTTTTATAGTGATCACTAATGAATTTTTAAAAACACCCCCATATTTTTATTGTGAGTTTGTGAGCAAAAAGTCAGGGTGATGATGACAGGATTGAGTATTATTGGAGACTGAAGCAGCTGGGATCCACGGATCATCAACCTTCTCTGAAGGGAGAGTTTGATATTAAAGAATCTTCTGATGAATTAAACTCTTCTTTTCATACAATCACCTATTTGTTTTAGGAGCCCAAGTGTTGATTCCTCTTTAATTAATCTGAGTACTGAATTATTTTAAACAGCTGTGGTAGGGAACAATATTGTGGCCAGAGAGAGTAAAATTCACCAAGGTGTAAAAATTAGAGGTTAGTGCCTATGCCCCACTTAAGATCTGCATTAAGGATCACTTGCACATATAGTCACCCAGTCTGGGTGAGCAGCCCTGGTAACAGCACGTAATAGACATGCATTCTGGGTGAATTGCACATTTTTTTTTTTTTTTTTTAAATCTCAGCATATTTGGAATTGAGGATAATCTGCACCAGACTGTGAGAGTTTGGAAGTAAATCAGACCTTGAGTCTACAGAGCATTTGACATAGTCTAATAATATTTGCTTTTAAAAGTGAAATAATGATGTTAAAATGTAATTTGTGACCCTGCAGTTTGTGATTCAGTAGTCAAAATAGATTGTTTTTGCTCTCCTTCTTTTCCTGCTTTTCAGGTCTTATCTCCTCTGGCAAAGGGCTTGTTTCATAAGGCCATCTCAGAGAGTGGAGTTACAATCCGGGTTTTGTTTACTGCTCATCCTGAAGCACAAGTTAATGTAGGTTCTTTGTAATATCGAGTCTGTATTTGTAAAAGCTGGGACCTGACTTGCACCTGTAAAAATGTACAGTAACTGTAGACATGAGCACCTACATTTGTGTATGGAAATAAGAAAACTGTGCACACTTGATATGTTAATACTCAGATACCCATTTATATGTGCATTTATCATTCTGGCCTGTTCACACCCACAGATGCACATGTACACACATATTTTTGGCTTAGTCTTACTCCCATTTTTTTTTAAAAATGGCACCCAACATCCCATTGTCAAGGAAGGTAATATGGTTTTGTGCTTAGAGTACAGCAGGGGTAGTCAATAGGCAGACCGTGGGCCAAATCTGGACCGCCAGATGCTTTTGAACGGACTGCAAAATCTTTTTATTTATTTATTTTCATTATTGCTATTAATTTCATTTTATTTTCTCTGGAGTCTAGGTCTTGACTATACCTTAACCAAGAAATTTTCACCTTGTCAAAAAATAATTGATTAACCCTGGATTACAGGACTGGCCAGTGGGAAACCTGAGTTCTATTCCCAGCGGTGCCAGAGGATAACACTCACCTACCTGACAGCAGAGGCGCCCATAGGGGGAACAGATGAATGTCCCCTTCCCACCTATTTTTGCACTTGCTCAAAGTTCCATAGACCACAGAGCTGGCGGGGGGCATGGCCTGACCACTTTTAAGTAGAAGACCTGTACCAAATCAGTACGGCTTCTCCCAGAACAGTTAGGAATGTCTCTCTGGATGCCTGGTCGTAACACCACTGAAATTTGACTCGACCGCCTGTCTGTAAAGATGAAGAGGCAGCTAGGCCAAATTTCAGTGGGTGGCATTGCAACCTGGCGTGCTGGGTTGCAGTGCCACTTAAATTTGGCCTGGCTGCCCCTCCATCCAGATGGAGGGGTGGCTGGGCCGAATGGTGTTGCAGCCCAGAACACAAGGAGTCTGCTCCTCTACAGCACAGTGTAGGAGAGTCCACTGAGAAGGACAGCACTCATGCACTGTGTGGATGAGATAGAGGGGAGACTCCCCAGCTGAGGGAGTGTCTAAGCCTTGGTCCCTGTGGGAGGTGTGGGGACTGGAATGGGGTCACTGCTGGGAAGGGAGGGGCAGGGAGCAGAACTGGAATTTGCCCTGCCCCCCAAGAAACATGTATATTGGCTCTAGGGGGACCAGATGTCCCAATTTTATAGGGACATATTTTTGGGTCTTTTTCTTATATAGGGTCCTATTACTCTCCACCTCCGTCCCGATTTTTCACATATGCTGTCTGGTCACCCTAATTGGCTCCACTGCCTGACAGATATGTGTGAGGCTTAGTTGATTAACGTCTGTGAAGCTATTTGACTTCCTCATGTGGAAGGTTCTATAAAAATGCAAAGTATTGTTATTACATCTTGCAACAATCAAATCTGAAAGAGTTTACAGCAAAATTGGAACTGAACTTATTGGAGGCAGAAATGTCCTAGAGAATATGTCACCTTATACGATTAGTAGACAACACTGGAGCCGATGAAATCTATAGTTTGTAGTCACTTGAGTTTTTGGAGGATTCCACTAGGCTAGTTTGAGGTGCTCTGGGACTGGCCACTTAGGGACTTCCATGGGTTCCCTCCCAGCTAGCTGCCCATAGCTCTGCTGCCCCTGGCTCAGCTGACTCCACTGCTGAGCAACAAGTGTGACCCCTAGCCGCAAAATGTGAGAAAAGCTAATGTAGTTTACTAAGCACGCGACTGACAGAAACACTTATATGTTGTGATCCTGGCTCTGACACAGACCCTCTGTGTCTTGGTCAAGTCATTTAACCTCTGTGCCTTTGTTTTCCCATCTTTCTACCTGGGAGGAGTTTTGTGATGATGAGTTAATGTTTGTAAAGCTCTGAGAAAGTAAATTAAGCCAGCAAGTGCACAAAACCCTCCTACACTGAGAAGCTTAGCTGCGTGCAGACCCCTGATTTATTTGCAGCATCATCCCTTGAAAAGCTTTTGAAACATACGAAGTGCAGAATGTACAGCTGAGCTCCCTTTCTCCTACAGTAGGAGACTGTGACCCAAAAATCCCAGACCCACCCAAAATGTAAGGTGCACACAGCACACTGAAGGGATAAAGTGCTATCTAAGAGCTAAATATTGTTGTTGTTATTCTCCATAGAGAGCTACTAAAAGTGATTTTTTTTAACTGATTGCAGAAAATTGCTAGGGTATCTGGCTGTCAATCACCCAGCTCTGCTGCAATGGTTCATTGTCTGAGGGAAAAGACAGAGGAAGAGATGATGGAAATAACGCTGCAGATGGTAGGTGGCACTGTTACTCACTGTGTGTGGCAACTGATCACCTTTTACTGCAAACAAACAGGATTTCAACCTTGGGTCCAAGAGTGGGCTTATTTTCCCTTTCTGTTTGCATCAGAGGAGGAATTAAAGACACTAGATTATAAGCACTATGGAGCAGGGACCACGCGCATTTGCATTTTCATTGCCTGGCACAATGGAGCCCTGATTGTGAATGGGGTCTCCGAATGCTATCTTGTGATAAACAATACCTAACAACTTGGGTTCTTACACTTGGAAAGAAAATGAGTAAAAGGAGATAGGACAGACATTTGCAAAGTAATGAGGGACAGAAAGCACAGTGGGCATTTGTGTTTACCTTCACTGATAACCAGAGCACTAGTGCACTCACTATTAAAAGGCAACAAATATAATAGATAAACTGCAATGCTATGACATGGTGCATCTTAATTAAACCATAGAGCCAAATACAGCATCTTAATAAGCTTCTAATGAAGATTAGACTCGTCTGGCTAACGGTACATTTTCTGTCATGGCTGTCATCAGAATCAAGACTGCTGTGATTTTTTCACAACTTTTGACATTTGAGGTTTTTGCCATGTGGTGGAGGTGGCAGTAAACAACTGACCTCATTTCCCTGAGAACCTTAGGAGCCATCACATTAAAGCCTGGATACCATGGGAAGCGGGAGCTCTAATGGTTTGTCATGCTGGGGAAAGGTGTCAGACGCTACGATTTCTTCAATGGGGCAAGTGTGAAATGCACCAGGGCAGCACTACTGCCCCTGCAGCTGTGGCAGAGACAATCAGGGAAGAAGTCCAGAGCGTGGTTCTCTCCTTCACTGAACTGACAGGCACTGGGATGGCAGTTTCAAACAGTTTTAGGATGGGATTTTCAAATCAGCCTATGGGAGTTCAATGTCCAACTCCTAGTAAACTTGGGTACCCTTAGACTCCTTTGAAAACCCCAACCTTAGCTATCTGTTAAATGTTATTGCATGGCTTTAAAAAATTTGTATTGCAAACCAAAGATCATTTGGCTATAAATAACATGATCTTGGCATTTTTCTCTATATTCATGATATTAGATTTTGTTTCACCATGACCATGATATTGTTTTATATAACTTGTGATGATAAACCACTAGCCCCTCTTTAGAGTATATTAAGAATAACATCTGAAATTAGAATGAAAAATATAAAAATGTTGAGGCCTGCCTATCCTTATGCTTCAGTTGATCAGGACTGAATGGCCACCTCCCCCATAACTTAGCATCATTGCACCGGATGCTTTATTAGTGACAAAAAAGAAAAGGAGTACTAGTGGCACCTTAGAGACTAACCAATTTATTTGTTAGTCTCTAAGGTGCCACTAGTCCTCCTTTTCTTTTTGCGAATACAGACTAACATGGCTGCTACTCTGAAACCTCTTATTAGTGACAGTATTCACCTTCCTCTCAAGTATCTAATGTATTGCACTCTCACAGACGGCCAGCAGAGGGACCGATTCTATTTTTCTTTGGCAGTTCCTAAGTTCCTAGGGTCACCCTGCTTGCTGTTAAGCAGATGCAGCCATAGGGAAAAGACAGGCAGAAAGGGTGAAGATAATAGGTGACACTGTCTGCAGTGACACTTCAACTTTTACTGCAATAAAATAAATAAAATGTGTGCTGTAAGATTAGAAAAAGTGGCAACCATCACACAACTCATCCTTTTCTTCTCCTCCTTGCCTTTTAACAGGAATTCACAACCATACAGTTGAATGCTACATCATCTGGAGACTCTGAAACGGTGACATTTTTTTGATTTCCTCTTTGGGCTTTGAACTGTTTGTGTCTTGTCATGAACCCATTTTCAAAAGGGAGCTGGCATCACAGCAAGAATGTACCAAAACTCACAATTTCCCAGGGGGAACAAACATGAAAAATGCAGGCTTGCAAATACAAGCAAATGAGAAAATGTGCAAAAGGAAAATGGCCCATTTTTTCAGAGCTCCCAGTGCCACCACAGTCATCAGCCAAATGTATCCACTGGCACTGGATGGATGGCTTTTTAACATGGCATGCAGGAAGTAAGCACTGCATATTTGGGGATCTTACTAAGGATTAATCAAAACTTTGCACAAAGCATAAAACATCTGAAATTTTTGTTTTCGGCAGAATTGCAATTTATTGTCCCACTTACATGGTTTTCCCCATCACTACATTAGCTTACTCAACAGTTTGGCAACCCCCCAGCAAAATTAATTCTGCCCTTACTTACACAAATGCAGGCCCAGTAGTAGGGTGACCAGACGTTCCGTTTTTAAAGGGACAATCTCGTATTTAAGCCCTCCTGCAGGTGTCCCGACTTTTTATTTAAAACGGTCAAATTGTACTGTATTTTCTATCTTGCCCCCATCAGTACTGGCAGGTCCTGCTGCTGGCCAGATCCCGGCTCGCCAGCCGCCTGCCCACCAGCAGTGACCAGGTGGGGGGAGTGGTTCCCAGTGGCTGACAATGGGGGTGGGTGTGCAAGGCTCCTGGCTGGTCCATCAGTGCAGTGACTCAGTCCCCACTGCATGCAGACTCTCAGCCAGCAGGGCCCTTCCTCCGTCCCGTTTCTGGCCGTCTCTAGCTGAGCGCTGCTTGCTGCAGTGGCTGGTGAGTGCAGGAAGGCGTCAGGCAGCAGCCAGTTATGTGTCATTTCTGCTGCCCACCACCAGCCCTTTACGTGCTCCCCCTCTCGCTGTCCTCTCCCTGCTTTGCCCTTTTGCCTTTCCAGCCCTGCTGCTCCTCCATATCCCCCCCAGCGGGGTGCGTCCTGCTCCCAGCCCTGTGCAGAGAACCAGCCCTTGGTCAGAGCACTGAGCTCACCAACAGCCTAGCCAGCAGGCTCCTTCCTTCCCCCACTGCCTCTGGCTGGGCTGGTGCCCCGGGAAAACCCAAGACCCTCTGGCTTAGGGTGCCTGCCAGGAGATGCTGAGACCTGCATGTGCCAAAGCCCCGCACAGCATTGGCATGGGGAAGACTCTCCACCCCGCAGCTAAGCTCTGGAGTGGGGGGGAGCAAAGGGGGATGAAATTTCCAGCCTGTTCATACCCTGAACCTGGAGGCTCCACAGTAGCCCCCAGGGTAGGGGCTTAGCACCCTCTTCACCCCCCAGCTTTCCGCCCTGGGTCTTGCCCCCAGGGAACGTGGGGCTGCTCTGTCTCCTAGGCACCCTCCCCTGCTGAGCCACCTCTGTGGCTGGGTTTGCTGAAGCTCCTGCAGTCAGGTTCCCTGGGCTCTGGTCCACAATGCATCCTTAGGGCTTAACCCCTTCCTGCCTGCATTGTAGCCAGGGAGCCAGGAGGCAGCTGGCTTATGTCGGTGGCCAGCAGCAGCCTAGAGGTGTTAGCTGGCTGTATACACTGTGCCGGAAGGAAGGAGCAAGCTGCTTTCAGCCATGGGGGTGGGGGGCGGTGCAGAAGAGATGAGCTCTGCAAAGACATGGGCCAGGTCATCCCTTCATGCCCCTCCTCCTCCCCTGTGGCTGGAAGTAGCTCCCATCCCTTCCCTCCTGCACAGTGCCGAAAGGCTGCTGCTGGCCACATTCTGGTGAAGCCTAGCAGAAATCTGGGGGGTTGGAGGGAGCATGTGACCTTGCGTGCTCCCCCAATGTGTTTCCTTGGGAAGACACAGCACCAGATATCAGGAGAGGCGGGTCCATCCCAGAGGCCCAGCCAGGCATGGAGGGCGGAGAGCACAAGGCAGGGAAGGTCAGGTTGGTTGGTCAGTCACCCCAGCTGTGTGAGAGAGGTGTACGGGAGTGTGTGTGTGTCACCTCTCCCACTATGTTTGTGTGTGGGGGGTTAGAGGTGTGTATATCACCCCTCCCTGTGTGAACCCTAAAGCTTTAAAGATAAGAAGGTAAATAAAAGGAATCAAACTAAGCAGTTTCTTTTTAATGGAGGCTCAGTCAACTTGATGTTAATTTGTACATTTGTACTGCGTAGTTCTGACTGATTGTCGTTGAACTCACTTGAATACAAGTAATTTTACCAGGTGTCCTGTATTCAGCAAAGGGAAATATGGTCACCCTACCCAGTAGGGTTGGAATGGTGTAAGCAAGGATGGAATTTGACTGACTTATCTATGTGCCATGAGCATTTGACATACAAAGGGCAGAACACACATTGTTAAACAGGATAGAAAATCTGCAGGAGAAACTCAGAACACAACTTGAAATGTGTATTCATCTCTTCCATACGCATCTTACACTTTCACTAATAACATGTGAGCTCACCTGGGCACTTGTTTAGGTTTGGTTGAGGTCTGCTGTGGGAATCTTGAAATATCTTCTAGAGGCAAAAGTAACTCATAAATAACAAAGGAATTTGTTTTTTCCTCTGCAGTCACTATTTAGCTCTGCAGTTTTGGATGGTGTATTTTTTCCTAAGAGCCCTGAGGAACTACTGGCTGAAAAAGCAATCAATGCAGTCCCATATATAATAGGATTAAATAACCATGAATTTGGATGGCTACTTCCTAATGTAAGTGATTGTAATAGCTTTATTTATCTCCCAGTCTGTTAACTCTTTAGAAATATAGGAATTCATGGGCAATATCATGTTCTTTTTACTGTGCAGATGTTGAAATATCCTGCTTTCACTGAAGGGTTGGACAAAGAAACAGTAACCTCACTGCTACTGAGCTCAGAGTTCTTTACAGTAAGAGACTATTTCAAATTAATTAACATATGAGGGGTATAGTCCTAGGTGAGATCTCCCTCCCCAACTTTCAGTACAGTGTGCAAGAATATCTTACACCATACTGCTTTATTGCCGGGCTAGGCCTTCCCTTTTTAGAAGAGGTGTATATTGGGGGGGAATTCATTCTGGGCTAAAACTTCTGAACAGAGAGCAACATACTCCTGACAGAAAAGTGCCAAACAGGCACAAGGGGAAGAGAAGCACAATGCTGCTCCCTCTTGAGATTAGACACCCCACAAAATCTGCTATAACCTATGCTCTTCTTTCCCTCCCCCACCCCCACCCCTGCATGAGGTGGACTCCCATTCTTTAATAGGAGTTCCATGGGCAGCGCAGGCCAGAAAGCCCTTGGCAGCATGGCTCCTGTAGGTATTGCATTGTCATGGGGCTGCAGGTAGTTGGGAGGGCCAGGCAGCAGCGCAGAGGTGAGGGACTTGAAGAGGGAGTATATCTCCAGTTTATCCCTGAGGTCCACCTACACCCATCAGAGATTTGGGGGTTTCAAACTCTTGGCCTCTGACAGAAAGGGGTGGGGATAAACCTTGGTTCCTTTCCCCAATGGGAGAAGTCTGCGGAAACTAATGGAATTTCTGCTCGCCTGTATAGCTTATTCCCACGTGGAGGAAAATAGGTCCCTATGGAGTATTGTGAACATCAAAAGTTCAAAAATCATGGGATCGGCCCAAAAATCATTAGATCGTTTTAAAGAGAACATAGTAATTTTTGGTCTGTCTTTAGTTTTTTGAAGTCCCCAATGTGTGTGGCAGTTACCATGTTGCCAATGCCAACTCTGCCAAATGTATACAGTGAGGTGATTCTAGCCCTTCCTGCCAGAGCTCTCGTTGCTGCCCAATGGCACAGAACTTCCAGCTTCTCTCCAAATCTCACTCTTTGAGTTAATTAATTCTGTGGTCCGCCCTGCCCCAGCCCCACAGATACCCATCTCCCAGCCCAGCCATTAATTTACACACTTCCCTCCACCGCCCTACATCAGCCCCCAGCTGCTCAGCACACCTCTGCTCCTTCTGTAGCTCCAGGGTTCTTTATCCATTTTCCCCCTTCTTAGGCCTGTGTTGCAGCCAGAGAGAAAGAGGGGAGAGCTGGGAGCACGATTCATTTTTTACAGAAAGGAGGGAACAAAGCCACCCTGAACACCTAGGCTGTTTCCTCCCTCTTCTCTCCCCAAAAACTCCTATTAGCTCCTGGGCAGAGGGAGGGGGAGAGTTTTTCTACCAAATGGTAAGGGCAGCCAATTAGAGGACGCTTTTTCTGGGGCAGGGCTGGAAATCCCATGATTTTGTCATGGTGAGACCTCCAGTGGACACCGATGTTGCATTGCTCTCAAGGGGGTCACTAGGGCTAGTGTCACTACTTCTGTTTGTTCATCAGCATTACTGATTGGTAACACTTGTGTGGATGTTAATATAGTGGTCTCTGACCCCTTCGCAGTCCTGCAAACCTCTTCCTCCCAAAGACAGCATGAGTTGGCAACCTCACAACTTCTGACTCAGAGTTTTGAGTACTTCCCATGCCCCCCATGACGTGGGATTTTCTGTGGGAGGTAACGTGGTCCAGTGTTCATAGGGTTAGCTAGTGGCTGCTGTGGCTGCTCTAGGGAAAATGAAGCTTGCTAAATGCTGCAGTTGTTTCCCATAAATATCATCATTATAACAAGTATCTTTATTGTTCATTCTAGCATGTTCCTGCTGAGTTCACTCATCTATTATCTAATGAATATCTAAGCAATATAGAGGAGCCTACCCAGCTACGAGATAGGCTTTTTGAATTGATGGGAGATGCACTGTTTGTTGTTCCAGTCATTCAAACAGCTAGATATCACAGAGGTGAGTTTCCAATTAAGTACATATTTTTTAAAAAGGTTAAATTCCATCCTACTAATATCCTTGTTCAAAGCCTGACCAGGAAGTAGGTTCCTGTCTATATACCTGTGTCTGTAATGGATCATCACAACAGCTTTCAGCCCGAACCTCTGTTGTCATGAAACTTTTAGAAAAATGCATGGCCTTGGCTCTGGCTTTCATGAATCCTGAAAGAACCATAAAAAGAAAAGGAGTACTTGTGGCACCTTAGAGACTAACCAATTTATTTGAGCATGAGCTTTCGTGAGCTACAGCTCACTTCATCGGATGAGCTGTAGCTGTAGCTCACGAAAGCTCATGCTCAAATAAATTGGTTAGTCTCTAAGGTGCCACAAGTCCTCCTTTTCTTTTTGCGAATACAGACTAACACGGCTGTTCCTCTGAAACCTGAAAGAACCATGTTACCATAAAAGCCAGAAGAGCTGTACACATGGTAATAGAAATGGTCCCTTACAGGAAAACTAAAGAGCTGCAGGTTTAGAGAGTTGGTCCCCATTCTTGTTCTGCAGGGAAAGGAGCAGGCACATACCTCCTGCAATGGGTATAACAGAGTGAAAACCATGGAAGCAAATATAGGGGGTTCCTGTTCTTCACATTGTCTTATCTAAGGGACAATCAAGTGCATAGTTTAGTATCAGATGAACTTCTGAACTTTTTCTATTGGCACCAGCTCTGTGACTGTCTGGGGGCTCATTGTGCTGCAGATGACTATTTTCCATTAATCTTTGGTATTGTATGTTTGCACCTGAATTCCAGTTAGTATTAATAATCAAATAAATAATCAACAAAATAGCTATCATTTTGCCAGCGTCTTATCAAAGTGGCTGTTGATGAAAATGTATTGTTCTGTGTGGAATATATTTTTACTACTGGAACCCTTCTTATCTTTGTTTTCTATTAGATTCTGGCAACCCAGTCTACGTTTATGAGTTTCATCATCGACGGTATGAAGGTGTTAGACCAGACTTTGTAAAAGCGGATCATGGCGACGAAATTGGCTATGTTTTTGGAAAGCCCTTCTTAGCTGGTGATGTCTCCATGCTTGCTAAAGAATTCTTATTAAAGCATCATTATTGTGACACATGTGGAACTGATGTCTAATAATGCTGTAAATACTGAAATGTAACAGTTGTATGAACACTGTATGTGTCTCGGTCAGTGAGGTGAAATTATTATATATTGGGTTATTGGAATTTCCTGTATGGCGGCATTGATCAAATTTATATTGGGGGTTGTGGAATGTTTACTATAGGCCTATAATGCTCAAATGTATAGGGGTCGGTCTGTGCATGAAGGCAGCACAATGGCTTCCCAAATAAGAACACCCAAGCATATACTTGAAAGACAATGGGGCAAGTTGTTAGTTTCTAGGACTCTCTGTTCAGTCTCAAAACAAATGGAAAACTTGGTTTTCCCAGAGCTGAAAGTTACCAGATCAAGTGGCTATAACACTCCAAAGGTGACTTGATCCCTTTGAAAGGAGGTGATAAAAACTGTGCTGTGAGTTCAGGAGTGAGCTCTGACAAGGAAACAAGCTTACGCAGTCAGGCTCCACTGAAGGAACTAGTCCTACCAGGGTCCTAGTGCGGAAGGTAGTTTGGTACCTACTAAGTTAGACATGAATATAGTCTGTTTTATTGTTTGTAAAGTATGTTTTCTCCAAAATGCTTTTTGTTCTAAATAAATGATACTTTGCTTTTTTAAGGAACCTGGTTGGTAATTGATTACCACTGTAATTGCCCCTGCAGGAACAGGACTGTAGAGTCTGAGCCTAGATCAGCCCTGCTGAAGCAATCATAGTTAGTACCAGGAGACTGCTACTGAGGATCTGATCTCAGAGTCTGAGAATTGCATGATTCCCTCCTGAGCAGGTGATGGCTAAAGGCCTGAGACCTGGGCAGAGAACCAGGAGAGGGTCAGAGGTGCAGTTTGCCCAGTAACTGACATTATTATTACTTGAGCCCTATTAGCAGGCTCACTGCTGTAAAAGTAGAGGAGATGTGATCTTTGTTTCCTGTCTTATAGTAGTGAACTAGTTACTTTTTAATTGGAATCAATTCTGAGTGCACCTATCTCAATATAACCTTTGTGCTGACATTACATTTCATATCTTGCCTGCAGGTGATGCTGCAGAAGAAGAGGGTAAACTCAGCAGAACAATTATGAAATACTGGGCTAATTTTGCTCGAAAAGGGTGAGATTTATAATTCATTAATTAGGGGTCAGATTTTGTCATTGCTGCTGAAAACACTATGCCAGTACTTTTCTGGTGGGCCCCATCTTTCTGCAGAGTTTAAGATTTCACTTCACAACAAATTAGTTTCAAATCCCTGTGGCTGCAAAGAAAACATGCCAAATATGATCTACTGCAGGGCTGTCTTACTGAACCTGGAGATAAACAGAAAAAATATGTCCAAAGGCTTGAGCTATCACACTCATATAATGAAGCATTAGAGCTGAAGCTTAATGAAGAAAATTTAAATGACAACATGTTTCACTGCTAATGACAGATCATTTTAGCAGAAACATCCACAGATTGTGGGGTTGTGAGCAAAGCTTGAATTAACCACCACTGTGTCCTCTTCCCCACATCCCCCCAAGGAATCTGACCCTTGACAATTAATGAACAAACACTGTGTTGTGCCGTTTTCATCGCAATGACATAAAAGTGGCAAGATGATTCTTCACTGTATTTTTTTTCTAGAAATCCTAATGATGAAGGTTTGGTGACATGGCCAGCGTATAATCTGGATGAACAATACCTTATAATAGACTTCAAGCAGAAAGCAGCAAAGAAATTGAAAGAGAACAGAGTGGAGTTCTGGACAAAGACCCTGCCTAAAAAGATGGCTGAAGGAAAGAGAGAGCGCAAAGAGTTATAAAGTCTGAGAAGCATATGGGTTGCTTTTACTACAGTGAAATAATACAAGATTATGTCATCTGAATGGGAGACATTTAATACTCATTTTGTAATTCATTATAATGTAGTTTAGTTTTATGTATGAGGCGTTAGAGAAGAACCTGAGCAAAACTGAGTCCCAGGAGGAACTGAGCTGCTCTGTTGCAAACCAGGCAGAAAACAGGCTGACCACTCAGTCTTAAGCAGAGTCAGTGATGTTTGCTCACAAAATAACACCAACTAGAGTTGTAGTACAACACTGTTGTAGAGTTTGGTACGGCACTGTCAAAAAATTATACAAATAAGTTCAAATACAGTACCATGATAATATATAGTACATGTAACACGTTGCAGATGCTGAGTAGCAGTGTTGCCCTTTATTCCCCCTTTATTTTCTCTCTCAAGAGACATTAGTCACTCATAGGCCTCGCATCTGCTCCCACAGAAGTTATGAGTTTTGCTATTGACTTTAATGCAAGTTCAATATAAGGTGCTGAGTGCTCTCCAGTTCCTTATAATGAAAATAGTTGCAGGTGCTCAGTGCCTTACAGGATCATGGCTCAACTCCAGATACCTAAGAACATCAGATAGCCTGATGGTCCGTTTAGCCCAGTGTCCTGTCTTTCAACAGTGGTCAATGCCAGATGCTTCAAAGGGAATTAACAGAACAGGGCAATTACTGAGTGATCCAGCCCACTGTCCAATTCCAGCTTCTGGTAGTCAGTGGCTTAGGACACCCAGAGCATGAGGTTGCATCCCTAACCATCTTGGCTAATAGCCATTCATGGATCTATCCTCCATGAACTCATCTAATTCTTTTTTGAACAAAGTTATAGTTTTGGCCTTCACAACATCCCCTGGCAATGAGTTCCACAGGTTGACTATGTGTTGTGTAAAAAAGTACTTCCATATGTTTTCAACCTGCTATTAATTTCTTTAGGTGACCCCTGGTTCTTATGTTATGTGAAGGGGTAAATAACAGTTCCCTGTTCACCTTCTCCGCACCATTCATGATTTTACAGACCTCTATCATATCTTCCCTTAATCTTCTCTTTTCCAAGATGAACAGTTGAATAGTTTTTAATGATGAATAGTTTTTAATCTCACATTATATGGCAGCTGTTCCATACCCCCCAATCAGTTTTGTAGCTCTTCTCTGTACCTTTTCCAATTCTAATCTATCTTTTTTGAGATAGGCTGACCAGAACAGCCTGTGGTATTCCAGGTGTGGGTATACCATCGCTTTATATAGTGCCATTATGATATTTTCTGTCTTATTATTTGTCCCTTTCCTAATGGTTCCTAACATTGTCAGCTTTCTTGGCTGCTGCACATTGAGCAGATGTTTTCAGAGGACTATTCTCAATGACTCCAACATCTCTTTCTTGATGGGTAACAGCTAATTTAGGCCATCATTTTGTATGTATAGTTGGAATTATGTTTTCCAATGTGCATTACTTTGCATTTATTGGCCATTTTGTTGTCCCGTCACCCAGTTTTGTGAGATCCCTTTGTAACTCTTCACAGTCTACTTTGGATTTAGCTATCTTGAGTAATTTTGTATCATCTCCAAATTTAGCCACCTCTCTGTTTACCCCTTTTTCCAGATCATTTATAAATACATATAAATATACATTGAATACCTACAATCACTTTTTTATTGTTTAGCCCCTTTTCCTATAAATGTTATATACATAACTGTTAACTCTTCACTTTTTGAAGTTCTTATTCTATTGCCTCAGTGAAACCTAGACTGATGGGAAATTCTGAGATTATGTGAAAAAAGATAATATGGGGGGGGGGGAAATAAAGCACATTAAAGTGTGAGATAAATAATCTTAAGGGCTTTTTACTGTTAAGCGCCTGCACCAATGTAAAATTTAATTGCATTAGTCATATCAGATTTCTTTGGGGCTCTTTGTTGATGCAGTATCTTTCTTTTTGCGCTGAGAGACAAGGTGAGTGAGTAAATATCTTTTACTGGACCAACTATTCCCTCATGGGGTTGTCAGGCATCCGGTTTTCGACTGGCACGCCTGGTTGAAAAGGGACACTGAAAGGGCTCCTGGAAGGGGCCTGCATGTCCCGCCGGCTCCTAAGCGCAGGGGCAGCCAGGGGGGCTTCACATGCTACCCCTGCCCACAGCACAGGTACCACCCTGAGCGCCGGCTCCGCAGCTCCCACTGGCCGGGAACCACAGCCAATGGGAGCTGCAGGGGCGGTGCCTCGGGGTGTGGGAAAGCACAGAGCCCCCTGGTCCCCCCTTTGCCTAGGAGAGACATGCCACCTCCTCCGGGAGCTGCCTGAGCGCCGCCCACGCTCTAAACCCTCTCTCACGCCCAACTCTTTGCCCCAGCCCTGAGCCCCCTCCCACACCTAACCTCCCTCCTGGGCCTGCACCCCAACCCCGTGCCCCTGCCCTGAGCCCGCTCCCGCACTCCAAACCCTTGGCCACAGCCCAGAGCCCACCCTCCCTCCTGCCCCCCAACCTCCTGCCCCAGCCCCGAGCGAGTGAGCCAGGGTGGGGGAGAGCCAGCAACAGAGGAGGGGGGGTGGAGTGAGCGGGGTGGGGCGAGGATGGTGGGTTTCCTGCAATCATAAAGCTGACGATGACAACCCCCTTCCCTCACCCACCTCGCCTCTCTAATAGCCTGGGACTGACACAGCCGCAAGGGAGGCATTTACCCTCCCTGTGGTAGATCCACTGACCCCTCCGCCTCCTCTGACGAAAATCTCACTTGCAGCCCGACATGGAGCGCATGCCAGCGCAGCGGCAGGGCGGCCGTCGGGCCCGGCGCGGTGCCCGCGGCGCGCCGCCAGCGCCAGCAGGAGCCCGGGGCAGCAGCGTTGCGGGGCTGGCCGCGAGGGGGCAGTCTATTCGGCAGCACGCCGCAGACCGCGCGGAGCGGGTAGCCCGCGGGGCGGGGCCGCAGGCCCCATCAGCCGGCCAGGCGCGCCCGCCAATCCGAGGTGCGCACAGCCCCCGCCCCCCGGATTACTGCAGCAGCCGCCAAGCGGCCTGCGCCCGCCGCGCACGGGCTGCCGGGAGCGAGCCGGAGGGCGGCTTCGCGCAATCCCCAACCCGGCGCTCCGACTCCGGGGAGGAACGTTCCCTTGCCTGCATTTGTCCCCTCTCGGCTGCCTTAGTCACGTGGCACGACGCGCTCGGGTCCCCCTTTCCCGCAGGCCGGCATGGCCGCCTCTGCCTGCCGCCCTCCGGGGCCCCGCGTGCTGCTGGGTCTCCGCGACGCCGCCATCCCGGACCCCGGCCGGGACAGCCTGCAGCCGCCGTCGTGGGCCACCAGCAAGCTGGGCGGCTCCCCGGTAAGGGGGCCGCGGGTGCCCGACGGGGGAGGGCGGGCTCGCGGGCCGGTAGCGGAGCGGCCACTGCCGGGGCCAGCCCGGGTCGCTGCGGGCGGTGGAGGCTTGGGCGGCTTCGTAGCGCAACAGCAGAGCGAACCGCCGGTAACATCCAGCGCGCGGGCCCCCTGCCGGGCAGCGGCTCAGCGCCAACGCTGCTGGCGTTTTACCCCCGCATCCTGCACTTACCTCTGCCTGGGGCGAGTCCCAGGGAGCCCGCGGCACGCACCGGCCTCTGCCCACCCAGCTCGCCGCAGGAGCTGAGCCTCAAGTTCGCTGTGACGAGCTTAGCCGGGGATGTCAAAAGGCTGCTGGAGACCCCAGCTTTCTCCAGTGATTGTACATGCTCAGTTCTCCGAGATGCGCCTGGCCCCTGTCTCGGCCTGGCTGGCAGCACGGGCTGGTATTTGAAGGGTTTTTGCATAGCCACGTTAAGTCAGGCCATAGTGGGTCAGACCTATGGGCTATCTAGCCTAGCTTCCCACAGTGGCCAGTGCCAGATGCGTCTGAGGGAAGTGAACAGAGTAGGGCACTTACTGAGTAATCCATCCTCTGTTGTCCAGTCTCAGCTTCTGGCTGTCAGAAAGTTAGGGATACCCAGAGCATGGGGTTGTGCCCCTGACCATTTTGGCTAATAATAGTTACTGATGGAGCTATTCTCCATGAACCTACCTAATTCTTCTTTGAACCCAGTTATTCTTTTGACCTTCACAACTTCCTCTCTCAATGAGTTCCACAGGTTGACTGTGTGTTGTGTGAAGAAGTACTTCCTTATGTTTGTTGTAAACCTGCTGCCTGTTAAGTTCATTGGGTGACCTTTGGTTCGTGTGTTATGTGAAGGGGTAAATAACACTTCCATATTCACTTTCTCCATACCATAATTTTATATCCCTCTCTCATATCCCTGCCTTAGCAGGTCTAAGTTCATTAAATAACACTGTGCAGTGCATCTTGAAATCATCCTTAATCAAGGCCACTGTTTTGTGTCTCCTAGAATTGTGCCCCTTCAGTAACTATGACTTATCCTTCTTGTGGGATCTGCGGTGCCATCCTGATGCACATAGTGCAGATATATTGCCCCCTTGAAAGCTCACTATTCCACCGTGTCATTAATGTATTTGCTTGTGCTGTGGAAGGCTGCTGGGGAAAATCAGAAAGGTATGTGTATGGTTTACGTTTCTCTTCTGAGCCTTCTGGGTTGGGGAGGGTGCTACTGTAATACAAAAAATGAATCCTATTATCTTCTTTTGCCTTTATCACGTTAATTACTTGTTTTAATTGCGTGTCACTTTCTTATTTTTCACTTTAGCTGGAAAGTGTTACGCTTCCAGTATTTGCAGATGCAAGGAAAAGAAACACAAGATTGCAAATTAAAGCAGGTATTACTTGCAAGTATGATTTCTTTTTAAGTGCGATATATAGAGTGTAATATTTAGGAACCTCAAACAAAATGTATAGTTTCTTCACAGCTGAGATGTTTTTTCCCTATTACAACTTTTTTTTTTTAACTATGGGTGGGTGAGAATAAAAAATGTATGGTTTTTGTACTGATAGACTTGAAATCTGTTTGTACAGTTATTGATTAATTTGAGTTGGCAATAAATGAAGCAGATTGTTTGTTTTGTTTTTTGACAGAAATGGTGAACCATAATTATGTAGTAAGTCCTACCTTTGTTCCACCTGCCACAAGAAGTCAACTTTTAAATATTAAAGTTATAATATATCTTATTCCACAGATAAATCTTTGCATGTTATACACTTGTTTTGCACGTTTCTCTTTGTTTTGGGCAGTTTTAGGGTCAGTATCTAGCATTGGGGGGAAAAATTAAATTAAGCATTAAATTGAGAAAC